CACGTCTTTCCTTGTCAGTTCGGATTAACTTCAGACATGATGGCGCAGAAATCTACAGAGATGGCGGAGGTTCTCAGAGAAAAGAATAATTTCTTTTAACCTGAGTGGAGCTGCATTCCTATTACAAATGTGCACAAACTTTAGTCAATATTCTGCTAAAGTAAGAAAAAAAAAGGAAAAAAAAACACTATTTGGACATTGCAGTGTTTCCATTACATAAGAAATAAAATTAAAAGCTCATGTGAATAAGCTTGTTCACTCGATAAGTCATTAAAAATCCTATGTGGTGTTTTGGGGATTCAACATGTTGGAATGACAACTTTTTATGAACTATGTGATGCTGAACGCTCCAGTGGAGTCAGATTGCACATTTTCCAATAAAAACAAAAAGAAACCATCATCCTACTGCTACTTCCTGTCGTTTTCTTTGTTGTTTTCGCCAGTAGTAACATCCGGATGTTGATCACATGACTCCTGTGATGTGAAAAGTCTCTAGATATGGTCGAAAAATCACCTGATCCTTGCATGAAAATGTTTTTTCTTTTTTTTTTTTTTAAATTGGCATATGTCTCTTAACCAAATTTATTTCGCTTTATTTTGCTTAATTGTATCGTTAATTGAAATGCAACTTCTGTGTATTCATGCTTTAAGATTCATTGTTTGTTGCTGAAGCAGTTGAAGTGAAAGAACAACTTAAGTAAATCAGGTGAAACTTTTACTTTTAACAAAATGATTAGCACAGTTTCTGCTCATTTATTTTCTGATCCATGTGTCGGAGTTTCTGCTTGCTGTGTGCAGACGCACTCAGTCATCTGGAGGCTCCATGTTTCTGTAACAGGTTTATTTATTACCCTCCCTGTCCACAGAGCACACAGCTCTATACAACCTGTCAATTAAAATTATTTCCAAGGAGAGATTTTAATCCCTAGAAGACATCTTGGGACTCCTGCAGCTGTCCCACCAGTGGGTCTCATCACCATATGTGAAAGCTTTTTGTTTGCAAGAATAACTGACATTTTGCAGAAGTTTTCCATCATCATGATGGATTGCTTTGTGAAAGAGCCCAGCATCCGAAGGCACATATGGTCAGCGTGAATATCATTTCATGAGAATAACTAGCGTACTTCCTACAGGTGTTTTGATAAATCTGGAGTGCCAGATGGTTCGTTACAACGATTGTCCTGAAAAGTCATGGTTGGCCTTTCATCTAACAAACCATCTGTAGATTGTTATTTAAATAAATTTCTACCAATAAAATCAATGAAATGCAATAAAGAAGGCGTTCAAAACGTAAACAAAAGGTTCAATATAGAAATAAATGTGGGAACATTTCTGGGGACAAGCCTCAGATGGACCAAGAGGAGAAAACTACAACTACTGGTGTAGTGTTTTTTTTTTGTTTTGTTTTTTTGTTTCTTTTTAAGAAAAATATTCTTAATAATGGTAATTTGTTTTTAGCTCAGTTTAGTTGGACACCATGACAACAGTTAAAAAAAATATGTACAAAAAATGGCAAAATTACGAATGAAACCATTATAATTGAATGTGTCTAAAGTATGTGTTAAAATATAATACTTATAGAGAAAACACAAAGCTGATCCAAATGTTACAGACGGCGACAGAAAAGGGGGAGAAGCTGTCATTGGTTGCTATGGTAACCACCAACCGTTAGCATAACATAACTTATAATGGTGCTTGGCAGCAGCAGCTACATTACTTATCACTCCAGGTACCATGATGGCCACTGGAAGACTGAAATTGTTTTCCTACGTTGTTTTTGATGGTTTATTTATGGCTTCTACTTGTTAGTCAAGCTAATTTATCTGTGAACGTTAACACAGCTGGTTTGGGGCTCATAGACACGGCACAAAAGTTGGAAATGACCAGCTTAGAAACCGACCCATACCTCCTCCCTCCTGACGTGTTGATCAAATTAGTGACTTTGCCTGAATTCACACCACATGATTTATGTCACTATGTCATAAACAGCGTCTCCCCTTAAACCGGAGCAGCATTAAAAACGAACAAAAGGCGAGATTCTAACCAGCTTTTGTTTTTTTTTTGTTTTGTTTTTTTTTTTCCCCCAATACATGCTAGGCTACATGACGGTGGGGCAGTGTTTTCATGGTTACTAATAGAGACACGTACCTTCTCCAAAGAGCAATATTTTATATCTTTCTAATCATACTTATTTATAAAGTATATGAACGTAAATATTCTTACCCTGTAAAACGCGTTCGCTGCAAATCCGCGGTTACACCGAGGACTACCAGTCATGATTGACGGCTGCTGTTATCCATCGCCGCCGCCATCTTTCCTCATTAAAAGTTATAAATAAAAATGACAAGTTTGGTTTGCATCCTTGCCTGTTTGTGCAGCCGACCGCGCAGCACCCTATATCCATTTTTACTGTGAAATCAACTAAATAATGATATTAGACTACTGGTTGTTGACAGGCTTTAAAGGAGCGCATTGGTTGCTTTGACGTCCATCATGGCGGCGTGGGCGGAGTTCTGGAGAGCGTGACATCACGGACAACGTCAGGAGAAATAACTTTTTGACTAAAGCAGAAATGAATTTAAAGAATAAAAAACACATGTATTTATTATTAATAGATTTACATTTAATTTAGTTATTTATTTCCTTTTAGATTAATAAAGTATTTTTGAATTTGAATTTACAAACTTCACACCCATAACATTGCTAATAATAAAATCCAAATGAATTACTTGAAGAATTTAGAAACTAATTAACAAACTCTACACCTACAGTATTGCTAAAATAAAACCCTGTTACACATACAAAATGTTTGAAGCCACCCACAGCTTCTTATTGTGCTTCTAAGAAATCAAACTTTCTTGTCGTCATTACACCTTTACAGGGGGCACCATGTGGCTCCGTGGCAGAGCACACACACCGCATATGTCCTTGACGCAGCTGTCCTGGATTCAGTTCTTGACCCTGGACTATTTACCGCATGTCTTTGCTCTTCTCTCTGCCCATTTTCCCGTCATGCTACAAATAAATACACCTTTAAAAGAAAAGAAAAACTCACCAACAGTGATTTTTCCTGTATATCTGGAAAAATTTTTTTACTTCTCTAACAGCAGAAACAGTCAAGCTCTTTATTTTATCATGTTCTGGCTGGAAAGTAAAGTAAATGTTTATTTGAGACTTTAATCTGAGTTCCCACATGCAGCAGCTGCTCATGGCCAGGTGGTGTGAAATCTATTCTAAACAGGCTTTTAAATGTCTAAAGTATTCAGCTATAAAACATGCAGCTGAACAAAAACAATACACCACAAAAGAGCGAACACACACCTGAGCAGAGAAAGAGGCAGAAACTCACACGAACCCATCGTGAAGTCTGAGATTCTGCAGAATATTCTAACAAGCAGTAATCAGTCTCAAATTATGATCTTTGTATCTGTGGTGAGTTTATCATTTGGCCAGACAAACAAACTGATCCATAAGGTGTTTGTCTTTGAGTTTGTCAGGCTCAAAGAGATTTAAAGTCCAGCTCATTGAGCCACAGAGCAATTGTCTGACAGGCGGAGCTGTCATTTTTGTCAACAACACTTAAAGACTTTCCCTAAAGGCCGACAGACAATAATAAAACATTGAAACTGCTGCCGGTGTCATCCACTCAACACTGCTGAAGCTTAGCAAACACTACAGCCAAAGAAACAATACATAATCCTTGTTCTGTTTAGCATTAATAAAAAATCTTGTTTACCTTTGAATCAGTGGGATGCTTAACAAAAATATGACTGTAACTCAGTTTCTCCAGGTCACAGTTTGGGATAAAAACAGAAATTTATCTGCGTCATAGTAAAACTATCCAAAGAACGTTAAGTAAGTTCATGTTTTACTGCAGCAGCAAATAAAACAGCTTTTTCTTTTGATGGCATGTACTCAGTGTGGACAAATTAAATGTTGAGCAGTAATTGCTTTAACAAAATCAATATAAGCATCTCTGCTGTTAATACTTTTTATGACTTATTTTTGAAACCAAATTATTTTTTTCCATTTGGTGCAGGATGTTTTCATATTGAACTTTTTTGCAAGTGAACTATTATTTGTAAACAAAGGCATAAGGAAGACGATGGTTGCTCTTATTGGACATTTGAAGAACTTTATAGATACAAGTTCATGCTAAACCTTAATCACACAACCGTTCAGATATGTTAATAGACGAATGAAAACAGTTCAACATTACATGATTTATCTGCTTTTGGAACATATTCAGTACATTTTTACAAGATTTGTACCAATTCTCATTTAATTCTCATTTGTCTTTCTCATAATAATGAAACAGCACATGGAGTGTCTAAATAACATTTAGTAAATAAAACGTTTGTTTTTATGTGTTGTGTGTAAGGGGGGTTGTTGTGTTTTAATAATGAAAAGCAATTAAATGTAGGTGATTTTATAATTAAAAATCATTGGAAAATGCTAATTTCTAAAGCATACTTCTGCCATTTACACTGGAACATTTAACTAATATCACTCTGACAGAGCCAAGTTGATCATCGGTATCACTGTCAACTGAAGGCAGGAAAAACGTTTCAGCCATCTATCCGGTATTGACTGAAACTGGACATTAAAGGAACTAATCGATATTTTTGATATCTGCAGAAGCTGCCAGAAACGTGTTCCTGTATCTCTAAACTCAAAGCACACTTGGTGGTTGTCGATAAGAAACCTGCTAAAGAAATGAAAGCCCAGATATTTTGCTGAATTTTGAAACGGACTGAGTTAACTGTCACATGGGAGAAAAGTTTACAGAAGTTCCCAAAAAGCGGTGTGACCTTTTTCTCACAAAACATAGCACATAAATTTGTCATTAATCTTTTTCCATATTCCTCCTATATGCATCCAAATGCAAGAATCTAAAAAAGGTCACTTCTTGTCACCTCTGTCACACATTTTTATCTTTGACAGAGTAACAAATAGTCCACCCTGTGAATGAATTAAAAAGGTATTACTGTGCACTTTACCTGGTGGAACTCTCTCTGGTGCTGGACGGCCCCAACGTCGCCTCCTATGGGCAGCTGCTCCGATAGCTCCTCGTCCTTGGCTGTCAGCCATTCTATGATCTCCTGCAGAGAGAGCTGCAGCTTCCCGCTGTTGTCGGAGAAAGCTTCGAGCCGTGCCCTGCCAACACACGTACGCACAGGGAATGGATTTAGCAAACGTTTTCCAAAGCACCAGCCAGGAGATGACAGGAAGCCATTTCCTCCCACCACCCAGAACGGCAGCATAGAGCAAATTAGTTACCATCATTTGTTTCACAATAAAGATTCATTATGAGTTTTAGAAAGTGTCCCTCGTCTTGTTAAAGAACTGTCCTGTTGAGATTTTAAAATTCAAAAATACTTTACTGATCCCAAAGGGAAATAAAATGACTTTGTAGCTCATAATAATTCAGATTCTTCAAAGAGTTATTGTAGACGGTGGTGGCTGGCAGGAAAGATCTCCTGTAGCAGTCTGTGTTACAGTGAATCTGAAGAAGCCTCTGACTGAAGACACTGTTTTCCTGAGAGAGTCTCATGAAAAGGATGGTCAGGCTTTTTTTATAATTTTTAAAATTTTATGAAGAATTATTCTTTGTGTTATCATCTCCAGAGGTTCCACAGTCGTCCCCAGAACCAGAACCAGAACCAGAACCAGTCTTCTTTATCAGGCTGTTGAGCCTTTTTAGGTCCTTGGCTCTGATGCTGCTGCCCCAACAGACGAAGAGACTAAACTCTCAACAACAGACTTATAGAAGATCTGCAGCATCTTAAAGGGTGTTAGCCTCCTCCAGGCTCCTCTGTCTCTTCTTATAGACGCTTCACTGCTGCATCTCCAGTCCAGTCTGTTGTCCAGATGAACACAGAGGTATTTATATTCCTGAACACCTCCTCTTCTTCTCCCATGATGGAAATTGTTTGATCTTTCATCCTGTTCTTCCTGAAATCAACAATCATCTCCTATGTGTTGTTTACTTTCAAGGTGAGTTGATTGTTTCCACACCAGGACACAAAGCCGTCCACCAGATCTCTGTACTCAGCCTCTTGTCCATCTCTGATCATCTCTGATTAATTTTACAGCTCAGGTCATTTGGGCATGATTCTCATTAATTTGTAAGTTTTTATTTTAACATTTCTTTTCTGAACTGAATGTCTGACTGTCTTATGTTATACAATATTATGTTAATACTGACACATACTCAACTATGCAAATGCAATACATTCATATCAATCTTTTTTTATTATTATTTAGTGCCGAAGGGCCCTGACTGTCTGACAAGGACAAGGCTATTAGCTTGTCATTTGGGATCGAGTCCAGCTTCTTTGCCAGAACTTAAACTGTTTTTTGCTAATCTCATTGTATAGACCTTTTCTCAACAAATCAATACATAGAAAAGTTCAACGAATGAGAAAAGCTGTAAGAAGGGGAAATGTAGATTTACATGATAGGGGAAAACTCTTGGAGCCATTTCTGATTCAAATGGATGTTCAGACAAAAAATTGGCTTTTTAGGCACATTGACAAAAAAAAAAGATGACAACCAAAGAGTGAGTGAGTTAGTTACTTAGTTGACTGTGAAAAGTAGAGCAGACAGTCTTTCATCTGCCTACATTTCCCAGAATGCTGTGCAGTTAAAATCTGCCAGAATAAGGAGCTTAATTTCACTTCAGTCAAAGTCACATTATTTTGTATCTGTCTTTAAATGTTCCAGTACACTGCTGATTGTAGAATATTGATAAGAAATAATGAGTTAGGTTTAATGCTGGATTTAACAACTAAACCAAGTAGTGGGAGGTTTTTCAGAATAAAAATGGAGTTTCTCTGGAAACAAGGTTTTCTCAAAGAAATGCTGTATTTCTCCTGAAATGTTGAACATTTTGTGCTGTTTTCAGGAAGCAGCACTGGAAATACTGTATGTTTTAGTTTTCCAACAAAAGTAAAAGTAAAAAACATACTGTGATTTGGGTTTTCTGCATTTCCAAACTCTGACTTCATAAATTTTCAGCCACATTTCACTAAATGTGAGCAAGCAGGAACACTCTGCGACTGAAATAAAAACTACTGTGGGTACATGATGCAAATGATGGCAGAAATGAACGTTGTGACAAGGCCTCAAACAGCAACGAGGACATTTTATTTGCTGAATTTAACTCTCAGTTTGCTCTCTCTGCCTACCTGTCTGCATCCCAACTCATTTATGCAGCTAATTCTGAATCTAGGATTATTTAAATCTAATTTAAAAGACAACTATTGAAAACGATGCCAAAATAAAGTACTCTAAAGCTTCATCAGCAGGTGTTCAAGTCGTGTTTTCAGATAGTTTTTATTAACATCCTTCATTTAAAATATGCAAATAAACCTTTTTTCATGCTCTGAGCATTATCATTCACTTTTATATAATTGAGACGTTACCCAGTGTGACATTTCCTGTCTTTATTTGTCTCGTATGCAAAAACGAGACAAATAAAGAGCCAGTGATTTCAGCACTCCATATGCTGAGGCGATGAGAAACGGTAAATATAGATGCAAACAGAACAAAGTACAAAAACCTGTTAGTGAGAAGGAAAAATTACTCCTAACATATTAGTTAGACTTCAAGGAACACTGACAACAAACTGCTACTTTCTTTCACATTTTAATCTAACTGCGCTGCTTGAAATCATCACAGAATATTTAAAAATAAAGCAATATCACTCTGGTGCAGCATGAAAAATACAAACTGAGTGTTGTTGATGTGATCTGAACCAGGAAATTACTTGAGGTGCTGAGAGAAACTCGCATAAAGCCTGGAGTTAAGTCTCAAAAGCTTAATAACTCAGAGTCATCATAAGCATAATAAGTAGGAGGCTTGTACAATTTGGCAACACTGGAGCTTCCCACTGGCCCTGTTGTGCTTTGGCTTGATGACGATGTCAACAACTGTCTGAATATGAGACAAAATGTAAAAATACAAATTTTAGCACTTTCTAAAACTGCAAATAAAGCATTTAGTTGTTTTTATGGCAGAAGTTTTTTCTTTCACAAGTTATAATTTGAGCATCTTGAGCATTTCTCCAAATGTATTTTTGCTCTTAAGATTTTAACTTATTATAAATCTTCAAAGTTGAAAAAAAAACAAGTTATCCTTTTCAAGAAGAGCTAAATAATCAGAGCCTGGACTCTCCTTCTGTCTGCATGTAGTGGAGCAAAGAGTTGGAGTCAGGAAAGAGTCCCAGTATTTCCTATCATCATGAACTAGTCAGCATTTAATTTCTCTCAACGTCTTTTTGTGTGGGATCTCACATCGCATCCACATGGAGACAAGGTTTTAGTATCCTGGGGTTTCTATGTTTAGGGCTTTGACCCCTGGTTGGATTTTCCACAGCAATCAGCCTCAGTGGAAGAGTTAAAGAATAACTCATTCAATCAATGGATCCAATAAATGTGACCTTTTATTCAAATGTGAATAAAAAAGTGGGCACACAATTAGATGCTGAAGCCAGTATTTTGACCCTGATGTGATGCGCACAGAGATGAGGCGCCGCATCACGTTCCAGAGTCCGTCTGGTCTGAGAAATTTCTTGATCTGCAGATAAAAACATGTTGGGAACCAACACATTTTCTACTTAAAACACAAAATTACAAAAAACTGCATGAGTGTGGCTTCATAGTTCTGTCAGCACATCTTATGCAGAGTGAATCTCTAAGCCACGCCCCTTTGCTTCTAAGCCACGCCCCTTTGGTTCTGCAGCCTCAGCAGCATGCTGTGCAAACACACAGGTCCAATAGTCTCAGCAAACTGACTGAAAATAGTGAGAAAAAAAAGTCATATTAAAAAATATAATAATTATGATTGTGTGTTTGTGGCAGGTCATCTAAACGCATTTGGTGTCTCTTAGAGAAATCACTGCTAAAACAGGACATCACAGTTGGAAAATATATCAAAACTAAAAATCTAAGAAGATTAAAAAAAACATGATATACAGCTTTGGAAAAAATTAAGAGGCTTTAATTTATCAGTTTCTCTGATTTTACTTTTTATAAGTATATGTTTGAGTTAAATGAACATTGCTCTTTTATTCCATGGACTACTGACAAGATGTCTCTGAAATTCCAAGTAAAAATTTTGTATTTATTTGCAGAAAATGAGAAATGGTCAAAATAATGAAAGGTGCAGTGCTTTCAGACCTCAAATAAAGCAAAGGAAACAAGTCCATATTCATTTATAAACAACAAAACTAATGTTTTAACTCAGGAAGAGTTCAGAAATCAATATTTGGTGGAATAACCAGGAGGTTTTCAGTGGGGCTCTTAATTTTTTCCAGAGCTGTATATATCTGTAGATCATAATCTTCTGAATGTTGTGGCATTGTTTAGAGGAAATCCAAGGGTTGCAGACTTGCTGAAGGTTTGCCGGTGGAAACTGCAGGCGGAAATCCAGCAGCTGATTATCCTAAGGGCACCAGCGCCCAGCAGGGTAAGAAATGTTCGAGGGAATGGCTGCTCTTGCATAAATGGCACATCTGGCACCAGAGGGATGAGGGCATTGTCAAGGTTTCGCGGTGTTTCAATTACACACACCATGGGCCTGCACTCAGATATCATTACGCCTGTACATCACAATTTGCCGGGACGTCATATCAGAGATAATAAGGCTGAGTGAAGAGAGGAACTCCTACATAAAGCTCTTATTTAGGGGGGTGGCCTGAATTAAAATTCAGACGGTGTCTTAAGTGTAAATAGAGAGACACTTAAAGGATTCAGGCCTAATCTAATCAGGTAGGATCTAATCAAACAATGCCCCCACTGGCCAGACTAATCAGGATTGAAATTATGCATGACAATTAATAATGAAGAGTCTAAAACCTTCATCATTAGCACGTTATCAAAAACAATATCAAATAGTGGAAAAGAATCACTGAAGGGCAATTTGCTTCCAGCTGAATTTGGCAGCGATGAGTTCTGATTCACGGAGGATCATGTATTACTTTATTATTGAAGCGACTGGAGAGCTGCGTAGGACTTTGGTACTCAACTGGTCCAAATCTTACATAAAGAATAGGGACCTTTATTTGTCTTCTCAGACAGAAGTCACATGTGGGGAACCCCAAGGTTCAGTCCTAGGACCCCTCTTATTCATTATCTATGCTCTCTCTAGCTCCA